TCCTCAACCCCCAGAAAGCCAAATTTTGTCACCGTTGCTGGGCTGAGTTTCCTGCAGACAAACAGGACTGGATCCAGCCCGGGATCCTCTGGAATTGCTGTCTCCATGTCCCGGCTGCGCTTGGGCACCTCTGGCTGCTGCTGGCAGGGGACGCTGCTGACTGTCACCCATCCGGGGGGGGGTCACTGAGGATTTGTGCCTGTCCCAAACCCCCTTTGGTGAACTCAGGGGCGTTGTGGCGGTGCCTCCCCGGCAGCTGCCGCCGCCGATATCCCCTCGGCCGCGGCTCCCTTGCAGCGGGGCTGGGAATGGATATTGAGGAGATGACGTTCAAGCGGGGAAGGGAAGGGAAGGAGGGGGGGGGAACCACAGCGAAGTTTGGCCGCGAGAACTCCCGAGGAAAGATGTTTGAGGCGGCCTGACGCTCGCTTTTCTCCCTTTACCCGCCCCCTCTTGGAGCTCCCAAATCTCCCAGTCCCAGCGGCGCTGGCTGTCCCAAAGCCCTGCCAAGCTCCGGGGACAGGACACGGCCAGAGGCGCACGCAGGAAGTTTTGGAAGTTTCTGCTCAGCCCCCATCCATCCATCCATCCATCCCCTCACCCTCCCGGCGATGCTGGGCTCCAGCAGGAGAAGGAAACTCGAAGCCAGGAGTGGGTTAAGGGGCCGGGAATAGGAAGCGATGCCTCTCTCGGAGAGCTCCTATCTGCCACCCGCTGCCTTTGTCCTCAGCCACGTCCTGGGCATCGCCGGCGTCCTGTACTGGAGGAGCCGGAGCAGGGAAGGTAGGGCAGGGAAAGGGGGGATGTTTGGGGGGGCACGGAGTGCTAAAATGGCCGGCATGACCTGGCACGGCTTGTTGTCCCTCCCCAGGAGCCGTGGCAGCGACAGGGACAGGCGTGGCTGTGGGGAGGAGGGAGGAGGACACGGCGATGGGGAGCGCTCAGTGGGCTCTGAACCCAAACGGAGCTCTGAACCCAAATGGGGAGGGGGGACAGAGTCTGAGAGCCTAAATTTGGCCTCACCACCCATTCTGGGCCTGTGTGGGGCTGGGGGTGACCAGGATGAGTGGGGATGAAGCTGCTTTTTGTCTGGCACAATCCCACCACACGTGGCTGGGGTTCTGCCTTCCCTTGTGCCCCGGTGGCTCCCTGTCCTGTCCGTGACTCTGTCAGCTCCCAGCACCAGCAAGAAACAACCCCGGGAGCTTCTCCCTGGACCTGGCACGGCCTCTCCGAGCAGCTGGGGCTGACCCTGCCTCAGTTTCCCAAAATAGGGCCCGCACATGACAGCTCAAGGAGGGCAAGGATTCGTTTCAGGGGTGTGCGATAGCTCCAGGCCCCAGACAGGGATTCGGTAACGCCTTCTCTCCGTTCCCGACCTCTTCTTCCCCCTGGGATTTGTTTGTTTTGATTCCTTGCTCTTTCTCTCTTGCTGTGCTTGTTCTCGCCGTGCCTCCGCATGGGGCCCTTTCCCCGCGTCCATGACCGATTCCCTCTTTATTCTCTCTTTTCTTTCCCTTTTTTTTTCCATGCAAAGGGGCGGGACTGAGCAGCCGGGCAGCGCCTGCAGGATTTTCCCTGGATGCTGCTTTTTAGGATCTGCTTTTCCTTCCTCCCTCTGAGCTGCACTGGGGGAGAGGGAGGCTGAGAGGGGATTGCACAAATGTCCTGCGGAATGCGTCCTGTCACCCACTAAACCCAGCCTTGCTGCAATTCCTCCCGCTTAATTTATCTCCATGGCTGGGCACTGTTGTCCAGGGATGTTTTTGGGGACCTCTTAGAGGAGTTTTGGGGTTTATCTCTTCCCCATGATGATCTGCTCCTTCATTCTACTTGGAGGGATGTTCCACCCCAAATCCACCCCTTTTTGAAACCATCCTGGAGTCGGTGTTGCAAGCAGCAAGTATATTCAAAACTTGGTTTTTTTCACTGCTTTTCCCGGAAAAGTGAAGGTAAAGCCCAATCCTGGAAGACCCCCACCCCCAAATCCACCCTTTTTTTAAAAAAATCCTGGAGTCGGTGTTGCAAGCAGCAAGTATATTCAAAACTTGGGGTTTTTCACTACTTTTCCCCAGAAAAGTGAAGGTAAAGCCCAATCCTGGAAGACCAGAATAATTTTGCAGCAGGTTTTTTTTGCTCTGTGACGCTCTGCTGAGCATCTGCCCTGCTCTCCTTTGCATCACCACATCTCAGGTGTCTCCCTCATTAAATATCTGGGTGTTGGATACTTTTCCACCGCAGGTATCTCCTGTGCATTCTTCCAGGCTGAATCAGGCTCCGTTTCCTCTCCCTGGGTGGAAGGCTCTGTAAATCCTGCCCTGTTGGCTCTGTTGTCATGATGGATTATGTCAGCTCTCAAGTTGGCAGCCAGCGTGTTTTAAATACCTTGTGCTCCTCAGCCAGCCAGATTTTTTTTTGCATATCTCCCCCCTCTCAGAAGCGCCGGGTTCAAAAAGCCCCCTGCACATTCTCGTTCTTTGCTTGTTTTGAAGGGGAAGCTCTGGGTTTAAATGCTTAAAAATTTGGAAAATGTTGGCTTTTTAAGGTAACCAACCCCTCCTTTAGGCCATGGTTGGCTCATATTTAATCCTGCTTTCACATTGGGTGTGGGCTTGGAGATATCCTTGAGATCTCTGTGATATCAATTTGTGCCTCAGTGTCCCTGTTCCTTTGGGTTCCTTTGGGATCCCCCATTTTTGGGGATGCTGTGAGCTGAGTTCTGATGGGAATTGTCTGTGCAGGGCCTTGTGGTGGTTCTGGGAGGGTTCTCTGGCACCCAGCACTTATGGGAGCCATCCCTGTGATGATGGAAGGTGCCTGGGGATGCTGAGCTCCAGCAGGATGGGGAGTGGGAGTTTTTCTGTCTGTGGGGCAGGATGGTTTTCCCTGTTTCCTTTCACTTGGTGAAAGGAAAACCTCCCCAGGCCCTTGAGCAGCCACCAATGCCCCTTGAGCCTCTGTGGGGGATTTGTGCCTCAGTGTCCCTGTTCCTTTGGGATCCCCCATTTTTGGGGATGCTGGGAGCTGAGCTCTGATGAGCAGTGTTGGGAGAGGAGGTGGGGAGGGAATTAAACCACGTGTGACCCCTGTTCATGGCCTCTGCTTGCTGCTGATGCTCCCCGTGAGGGACCTGAGGCTCTGCAGTCCGTTCTCCTGCCACTATCTTGTCTTTGGAGTGGGACAGATTTTCCTTTCCTTTTCCCCAAAATCTTTCCTCTGTTCCCTCTCTCCCTGCCTGCTGAATGTCCCTGGATGGTGACACAGGGTGGATTTTTGGTGGCTGAGACCAGCAAACCTCTGCTAGACCAGGGAGAGAACGAGCATGGAGTGGGGGATTGCAACAAGTTATTTGTCAGGGTGACTCTGGAAAAGATTAGCTGGGCAGAGATAAGCTTGCAATGCCTTAATATTGTTAGTAAGCCGTAACCAGCATTATTATTAGCTCAGCTGATAGCACGGGCCCCGGGGCTGGGGAGGTTTAATCTGGTGAGAGCCCGGGAACCATCAGAGGAGGTGAATCAGGGCAAAAAAAACCAGGAAAACCTCCAGTTTCTGCAGGACATGGGAACAGGGATTTCATGGAGCCGCCCTTGGGCTGTGGGCACTGCTGGGATGCAGCGTTGGAGTGACAGTGGGACCCGGTGGTGACACCCATGGTGACACCCATGGTGACATCCACGGTGACATCCATCCCTCCTCTGTCCCGTGCGATGCTCGGGGGCAGCAGCGCGGCTCCTCTCGCCCTCCAGGCCGGCAGAAGGGCTGCAGGGCGATTATATTTAGAAGAAGAGGAAGAGAGGCGCTGATAAGGCGGCCCCCGTTATCTCCCCGCGTGCCGAGCTCCGGGACCGGGACATGATTTGGGCACAAGCCTCGGGCTGGCGGACGAGAACAGCCGGGCATTGTCCCTCCCGTCCCTGGTGCAATTAGCTGGAAAACAAGAGGA